CCCCGCGCACATGCTTGTGGGGCTCAGCAGGTCACATTCAAGAGGGAAGCAAGTGGCTGTGGCAGGTGGCCATGGCAGGATTAAAGGGGTGCTTGCGTCAGCTCTGGCTGGCTGGTGCCCTGTGGTGGATGGGCTCGCGCTTGCCAGAGCTCCTGGTTTTTCAAGAGCAGCTGGACATCTGGACATTGTGGGTGAAAGGATGCTGATAGGGATTATCCCACGGCCTGAGAAATGTCACATTTCTGTCACAGGCCAGAACTGAGGACACAGGGGTGTCTGGTAAGCTGCTGACTTCTGGGCTCAGATACCTGCGTCTCGGCCCTGCCCAGGGCTTACTAAGTCACTCAGAGAGATGGGTGTGTCCTCAAGAAGTGGACGGACCCCTGCCTCTTGGCTGGAGGTTTGAAGTACAAGGCCTGCAGACCACCTGGGTGCTGGCCATCCGAGGATCCTTCGTTCGGTCTTTCAGCAAAGACTGGTGCCCCCAATTCTCTGCTAGGTTTTGGAGATACTGTACTGAATAGATGAAAAACCTAAGGAGAGTACTCTCGAGAGGGCTCGAACTGTGTCCCCTGGAACTCCGGGGTATTTGTGGACAAGGGGAGGAGGTGTGGTTCTGCCTGGAGAATTTCTTTTTTTCTTTTTTTTTTTTTTTTAAATGTTTTTATTTATTTCTAGGAGAGACAGAGAGATAGAGAGAGACAGCGTGAACAGGGGAGGGTCAGAGAGAGGGAGATACAGACTCTGAAATAGGCTTCTGCCTGGAGAATTTCTGATGTGGGAGGCCATGGACGTGGCCTGTGCTGGCTAGAAGGGACGGCGGTGCTGAGGAACAGGGAGGAGGAAGGGCAGTGCTGCATTCCCTCCTGGTGTCTGAGGCCCTGAACGGGAGGCACACAGAGGACCCTGTGGCTCGAGGGGTCCCAAGTATTGGTGCGGGGAGGTGACAGGAGGCTGGAGCTGTTGGGGGCACAGATGGCTGTGCGGCCAGAATAGTAACTCAAGCAGCAGCTGGGCTGGGAACGTCTGGTGGACTAGACAGAAGCCCCCGTGCTCTCTGAGGGTCCGGGACCAATCTCTCACCACCCCACAAAATTATGCCTGCTGTCTACTGGGGACCCCAGCATCAAGAAACCCACCCAAACTACCCAGGAGGAATCAGAGCAAGAGCACCTCCCCCCACCCCCTCCCCATCACTGCCAGCGGAGAGATACTTTGCTTTTGTTTCCTTCTCCTTGCCCGGCCACAGAGGAGCAGCAAAGGTCCATAAGAGGTCAGGGGAGACCTCCTGGAACTGGATGTGAGCTGGAAAGTTTTAGCTGGACTGGACCAAGTTGGACCAAGTTGGAGAACCAAAGGGATGAGCTATTGCTTGGGCTATAGATGCAGAGATGAGAAAGGGAGCACTGACAGAGGTCAGCCGAATGAAAGAAAACTCTCTGTGTCTGTACGTCAATGAGCCAGTTATACATTACACACATCAGTCATCCCGTTTTACAGTGAAATCTCATGCTCTCTCTCTCTCTTCTAAGCATTTACATCTAGTAGCTCATTTAAACCTCACAACACCTTGCAGAGTAGGTGCTATCATTACTTCCATTTTACAGATGGGGAAGCTGAGGTTAAGTGACTTGCCCACAGTCACACAGGCTGGTACACAGCAGAGTCAAGACTCAAATTTAATAATATGCCATCACGCCTCTTATCAAATTTAATGACATGCAGGGAAGAGCATGTTTGCGGGCGGATCTGGGCTGGGGCTGCCACTTTGAGGCCTGTGGTTTCAATGTGTTGGGAAGCTCTGTGGGGGAAGAGGCAGAGGGCAGGTGGGGCAGGACTGAACTCGGCCAGGCCCGTGGCCCACTTAGAATCATTGAGTCTCACATATGGACAAGATCTTGAAGATAGTCAGTTCCACCTTTAACCCCATTTTACAGGTGGGGAAAGCCACAGGGGTGTGGGACTTGCCCAGGAGCATTATGGCTCAGGCCCCCTGCCTGTCTTTCTCTTCTTCATAGGCATAGGCTTCTCACTTGGATTTGTGTCCTGGGAACCAAGCAGCCTACAGGATGAAACTGCGGTCCTGTGATTCTAACTAAAGACGAAGGGGAGGGCGGGACTCTTGTCTTGGAAGTGGAACACCTAAGGCCAGCTCCCCTTCTCTTAGGGATGCCTGCCTGCCTGCCCCAGGAGTGGGCCATCCTGGAGTAGAGAGCAGCCGACACTGTGTGGGCTAGCCTGGCCCAAAGGCAGCTGCACAGGTTGGTGCTGACCAAGGTGCTGAACCTGGATCTCACCTTCCTCTATTACTCAACCTAGCTGAGGGGAGAGAGGGTGGAAGGGAAGGAGACTCATTTTGGTCTCAGGGACCAAATGTGACTATTTTGGGCAGTTTTGAGTGGGGCTATGATTTCTGTGGTCTGTGAGGCCTTGGGAAAGTCTCTCAACTGCTCCAGACCTGCTTGTTCAGCTGCTTAACGAGGAAGAGTAGCGTCTACCCTACTAAACTTCGAAGGCAGAGGCGAGCATCACTCGGGGCTAGGTGGCAGCCCTGTGCAGCCTCCAAGCCCATCTCTGGGGCCCGGTGAGGCCTCTCAAGGACTCACCCTCACAGAGGGGCTTCACAGGCTTGTTTCTTCCTCTGCAATGGGGGTTGTGTTGGGTAACTTCCGATGCTCCTAACCTGGGCGCTCTGGGCCGTGTAGGCGGACGTGCTCAGGAACAGGAGATACACATCGCTGACTTGGGAGTCTTAGAACATCCCAGGGACTGTGCTGCCTTGCTCCTTCCTCCTACAAGTCCCGACTTGATTTTCCACTTCAGGAATGGGCTTTGCAGAGATCCATGCTCTTCCCCTAGAGAGGGCATGGGGATATGGGTACAGAGGTTCTACAAAAGGAGCATTGGCTTTAGAGCACTGGTTCCCATCATGGTTCTGCCATCCCTGGAGGGGCAAGCCTAGCACCTCAACCAGCGCTGCTAACAGTGTTTACCTTGTGGGTGGCTAGAGTACCACACGAGACCAGGAAAAGCCAACCACACTGCAGGCACCAGACAAGTGCTTGTCTCTTGCACTGGAGAACAGCCTTATCCTTGAGCCCTCGTGAGGCCTCATCCAGCCATATGGCCTCAGTGATACTAGCAACTGGCGCCCAATGAGCTCCAATTATCTGTCTATAAGACACAGTATTTGGTTAGACCCTGTAACAGCCCTGAAGGTAGAGGTAATGCTCGTTTTGCAGATAGAGCCATGCACCGGCAGAGGGAAGTCTGTGACGCCTATCCATGCCGGCCTGATTCTTAGTCTCCGGCTCGGCTTTGAGGAAGCCAAGCTTACTGAACCTTTCCAAACCTTCTTTTTCTGGTCTAATGAGGATACTACCTCATTGTGGTTATTATGATTTGAAGATATAATATATGCTATTTTACAAGGATACATACATATTTAGAAACATGTATGAAACACATGTGAGTGACCCATGAGGGCAAAGGAAATGGAGTGGGTATCCTTGGGGGTAGAACTTGAGAAACAGAATGAGGGAGTTCTTGCATGCATTAGTCATAGTGTGCCATGAACCAAGAAGACTGGCTGAATTCTTTGCACCTGATGGCCAGGTAAAAGGAAAAGATACAAAGATCGTACATTGGGGCATCTCAGACTTTAAATGTGCATATGAGTCACCTGGTGAGTTTGTTAAAATGTGGATTCTCATTTACTAAGTCTGGGGAAGGATCAGGATTCTGCATTTCTAACATGTTCCCACGTGTTGCTGCCAGTACAGTTGGTTTGTGTTGCTGCTGGTACAGTTGGTTTGAGTAGCAAGGATAGAGTCTTCCCTTCCCTTCTCGAGAGTTCTCAAACTTACCTGATCATATGAATCTGAGGAACGCATAAAAAACAGATTTAAAAGCCTGACCCTAGAGCTCTGGATCCAGGTGTGGGTTGGGGCCAGGACATACTGTGTACTTTGAGCAAGCTCCTCGGGAGACTATTAGGCTTGAGCAAACTGGGAAGGCACGGCTGCAGTATTCCTCTGTACCCTGGCCGATGGTGCAGATGGACACAGGACGTGGAATAGACAAAAGCAAAGAGAAATAGCCAGCTCTAGGAACTGGGAAGGAAACAGGCAAGGAAGAGAAGATGGGGACATGGGGGCTGTGAAAGATAGTACAAGTGGTCTGTGGCCTGTCACCAAAAGACGGTGATTTGGAATCAAACTTTTATTTTCCTTGTAAGCCCCTGGGTAAACATAGAAATTTCAAGCCGAGCAAAAGTGGTGCCATGAACTACATCAGACTTGGAAACTTCCCTATAGACTGGACCCATCCTGCATCACATCTTGGTCAGAACTCCCCAGGTCTAACCCAATCCCTCTTGTGGCTCCCCAGAGCCCACCCCAGCCATGGTCACCCCAAGGTGGCTATTACCAAAGCCACGGGCTGCTCCCCTGGGGTGACTGGCTCTGGTCTCTGTCTCGCGGAGCCTAGGTCAAATTCTTTTTCTTAAAATGAAGATAAGACCACTTCACGCCTCCTAGGATGGCTATATGCAAGAAGGCTAACAAGTACTGGCAAGGATGTGGAAAAACTAGAACCTTCATGCCCTGCTGGTGGGAACATAAAATGGTGCAGCCAGTTTGGCAAAGTCTAGCAGTTCTTCAGAAAGTTACACAACTATTATACGATCCAGCAATTCCACTCCTAGGGATATACTCAAGAGAAATGAAAACCTAGGCCTACACAAAAGACACATACACAAATGTCCCTAGCAGCAACAACCCAACACCTGTTAACTGATAAGCGGATAGAGAAAATGGAGTATACCTAAGAAACTCTTAAAATACAGAGAACAGACTGAGGGTGGATGAGGGGGGGAAGAGGGGAAAGTGGGTGATGGGCACTGAGGAGGGCACTTGTTGGGATGAGCACTGGGTGTTGTATGGAAGTGATGAATCACGGGAATCTACCCCCAAAACCAAGAGCACACTGTACACACTGTATGTTAGCCAACTTGACAATAAGTTATATTTAAAGAAAAAAACAAGAAAAAAAGAAAATGGGGTATTTATGTCCATACAGTGGGTATTCCTCAGCCATTAAAAGGAATGCAGTACTGACACACGCTACAACATGGATGAACCTTGAGGATGTTCAGTGAAAAGAAGCCAGACACAAAGGGCCACACGCTGTGCAATTTACTTGTGAGAACTGTCCCGAACAGGCAAACCTTTAGTGAGAAGACAGACTAGCAGCTGCCTCGGGCTGGGAGCGGGGCAACAGGAGTGACTGTTCATAGGTATGGGGTTTCCTGTTGAGGTGGCGAAGATGTTCAGGAGTTAGATGTAGTGATGGACGGACGCACATTGCAAATACACTAAAAACCACTGCATCGCACACTTTTAAAAGGTAAACTTCATGGGTATGTGGATTCTATATCAATAAAGCTGTTATTTTTAAAAAAGGAACAGGTTATTGAGTGCTGGTATTTACTGGTAAGGACCCTACCCTTGCACAAGACACACCCTGGAACGGGTAGCCCTCGCTGCCTGGCGACTACTCCTGGCTGCGAGGAGGCGGCGGCCCAGACTCCAGCAAACACGGACAGCGTGACTTGGAAGTCCCTGGAGTCCCCAGTCACGTCCCCTGACACTAAGGCTCAGTGTTCTTGACACAGGAGACCCACGCCAAAAATGGCTGATTCTGCAGAAGAGAATCACTGAAATTTCTGTTTTCAGAAAACAGAATGATGTACAGGATGATCCTTTTGGCCTTTGCTAGTAGAAAACCCAAGTGCCAAATTTATTGTCTGAACCATCTTTTCCTTAAATCGTAGTTCTAAAAGCGACCTACCTTCCCTGCTTGTCTGACGGTTTCTAGTGTGATGTTCCTTCAATGCTTCCTTTTATGATAAGGGATGTTTATGGGACCAAATTGCCCCAACTCCTGTCCGTAGCAGGTATGATCCAATTCTGGAACAGAAACACTCCGCCCATTTGTAGGCCCTCGAGGAAGAAGACTGTGACTGATGATTGCACTTGTAGCTTTGCCGGATCTCTGGCTCTCTCTCCGGAGCACAAATGTTCTACAGGCTGCAAGGTGGTCCTTACTAAATCAGTGCTGGAGACGGGGCCCACCAAAAATGGCCGGGGCGCCTGCTCATGCAAGCCTCCCCACCCAGGCCCCAGTTCAGTGTCCCCTTAACCCCTCTCGGGCAGTTCCAGGCTACAGCCTATTAGCAGACACCTCAGGGGGGCTCTGGTAGCCTACCCTCTGCCCACAGATAAATAGTACATCCTCTTTTAGGAGAAGGAACTCAAGGATCTGAGAAGCAGAAAGACCCACCCATGGATATGATGCTTGCTGTGGAGGGTAAGTGCCTAGTGCCTTGATCTCTTGCCTCTGGGCCTGGTGCTCTATGGGGCTCTCTCCACTCCAGCACAGAGGCTCATCACTGACCACGTCTATCAGGCCTTGGGCTGAAAAGAATCCGGAGAACACCAGAGGTCAGATGGGCCTGGACAGAGGACACAGGCTTCCAGAGGCTGGGCTCCCTGCTCCTAGCGGGGTTCAATACCACATTTGGGGATGGAGCCCGTGCTCCCGTGCCTTCCTTGTGTGGGGTCCGAGGGGCACGGAGTTACTCTGTGGGTAAGCACCACAGAGAGCCTCAAAAATTCATTGTTTTCCTCTGTCCCAGTCCCGAGAGGTGGCCGTACACAGAGGCAGACATCAGGATGCTGAGAAGAAAGGGCACCTCAGATGTCACAGGCAGCAGGAAAGCCCTGGGAGGGGAGAGCCCTGCTTAGGGTCAACTCGGTTAAGTTAGTGGCAAAGATAAGATTAGCCTTCAGGTCTGTTTATAGGCTGCCGCTGTCCAGGCACAGACGGGGCGGCGGGTCTGCGCGGACGGGCGGAACCGGAGGATTCTGCCCTTCTCGACATGATGCAGTCTTCCTGCAAGGCGCCTGCCCTTGTGGAAGTCTTCTTTGTGGCCTGGGGGTTGCTAGTCTCTCATTTTCATTGGCACAGCCACACTGGGGCCCACCTTAGTGATGTCAGGAGCAAAAGCAATTTAGGAGCAAAAGCAATTCTGAGAAGCAAGAACAGGCCCTGGGTAGGAAAAGAGTCACTTGGCCCCACGAAGACTTAAACGCTAACGTCTCAGAGACGGAAGGCGCTGTGCAGTAAAGAAGAGTGGGAGACTGGCAACATGATTTTTGTATTGACATTTGGTTCTTATAATAACATCCAAAATGTGTTCTGTTCTTATAGCGCTGCAGCCGCAACGGCACCGGGTCGAGGGTATATGTTGCCGGGGTCTCCCTTGAGAAGTGTGGGGGAGCTGGTGGTGAGAGAGACACACTAGTTGCTCTTTGGGACCTAGACGCAGCCAGGTGGAGAGCTGCAGCAGGTGTCCTGGCTCCGGCCGGGGGCAGGGAGGCGATCCCGGCCGGCCCGCGAACGCATGGGCAGAGTCCCTCGCCCCCAGCCCGCGGGAACACGGCTGCTGACGGGGCCCGCGGCGGCAGCTCCAGGAGAGTGGAGGGAAGGCTGGGGTGTTACATTCTTGAGGCCTTCACAGGTACATGTCATCGTAGCCCGGCGGGGGGAGATGGTCCGGGTTAGGTCTGGAATGGAGAGAGGGGCTGGTGAGCTGGGAGTGATGGAGGGGCCAGGGGCACCCGGGCAGACGGGGCCCTGGGCAGAGGGAGCCTGCCCTCCAGAACAATGGGGTGCTCTGTGGGCTTCAAGGCATGCGCTCTACAGCCATGATCCTGACTCTCCCACCTGGGATCAGCTGATTCACCTTCCAGGGCCTTGATTGCTGCCGTCTAGAACGTGGACAGTGATATGTACCCACAAGTGTTGCTATTAGAATCCAGTGTGCTCTTGACATGGACTAAACTTCAGTGAGTACAAGGGGCCCCTCCTCCTCTGAGTGCTCCCTGAGTGGGGCTGGAGGAAGGGGGCACTGAGGGATGGGGAGCCCCAGGGAGGCATCAGGCAGGGGCCCCAGGAGGCCCCGTTCCCTCAGCAGTGGGGGACGGAGGCAGTGGCAACTCGGCACCTAGAGCCAGACCGCCAGTTCCCGCAGTGCTGAGCCGAGCTGCATCAGGCCCTATTCCTCAGCGGGCCTCCATGATTACCTACCCAGACGGGCTGGTCCCGATGGGTCCAAAGGGGTCAAAGCGTGCTCCCGGGGGCACGGCGCCTGGAGGAAGACGGTTTGGGAGACCCGAGGATGGGTCAATGAGTGCCCTCGGGAAGCCAGATCTCAGGGGGTCCACAATCATGCCACCTCTCCGGCACCTGAGGCAAGAAGAAAGGTGGGTGAGCAGGTGAGGTGAGGAGCTGCTGGAGAAGAGGCGAAGGAGGGGAGAGTGGGCTAAAACTGCTCAGGCATGCACTCTGGAGAGCTCAGGCGGGCACTGATGGGTGGCTGCCCGAGTCAGCAGAAGTGGGCAAGAATGGGGACACCAAGAGCACACCTGTCCCGGCATGCACGGCTGCCCCTTCAGCGTTCCAGGCTGCCCGAGCCCACAAAACAGATCCCTGCCATGTCCTACATCCAAGGGGGACAGCCTCATCAAGAACAGGTGCCAGAACGTGCCAAGGTCAATGCAGAACCACCACAGGGTTCTGTAGGGCATGGTTTTAAGTCTAAGGACAAGTAACAGCACTGGGATGATTCGCGATGACGGCTTTCTTGCGGTTTCCTGAGAGGGCCCCAGGGTGCTCTAGGACCGCATGTGGACTGCCCAAATCTGGCTCCGACAGAATCCACCCTCCTGTGCAGAATCCACCCCCATGCACCTGACCTCCTGTGCTCAAAGCAGGATGCGCGAGCTGATGGGCCCCAAACTTTGAGGTCACTTTTCAAGATTAACTGCAGGCCCACGCCATTTCCCACCATCTAAAAATGAGGTACTCAAGTGGGGGTCGCTTTGCCGCACAGGTTAAAATCTACTCGGAGGCATTCAGAGAAGACAGGGCGTGGCTCAGCTGCGATGACTGTTGGGTGCGTGACAAAACCCACACGCACAGTCTAATGGGAACCAGAGACTCCCCTGAGCAAGTGAGGAGAGCCCTGAACTGCTCTTCAGTCTGTCGCCCACCATGTGCTCCCCAGAGACTCTTTCCTCCAGGGGAGGCTGCTGTCCTGTGCCGGGGCCAGCGTGGCCAGCTAATGACGGAGGAGCTGTCTGCTAGGCTTGCTCAGCAACCTCCCCCTGCCCCCGCCCCCGCCCCAGCAAAGCTCTCAGGCACTGCTCCAGGCCCGGCCGAGAGAACAGTGGCAGTGACTTCTCAGCTGCTCAGCAACAGCAGCCTCCATCACCCCAAAGCAAGACTGATGAAAAGCTCTAAGATTAGAAGATGAGCTGGGCTGAAAAGTCACAAGAGTAAGCTGTGTTACCGCCCCCTCCCTGGCAGGACTCACCCAAAGGGGTCCAGGTCCTCTCCGCCGACAGCAAACGGGCCCAGGGGATCACACCTGAAACAAACAAGGAGCAATTACCACAAGTCCCCTAGCAGTCGGGCGCCTGGGCTCCCAGGGGCTTGGGCCCAATGCCCGTGGGGTTGCAGATGCACTGCCAGGCATGGAGGGCAGGGGAAATCCCCGCATGAGACCATAACACAGGGGCTATTTCACGGTGGTCTCTGGCACAGACTAATAGATTACAAGGGTAATACTAAAAAGAGTTGAACACAAAGCTAAAAACAAAGAGATCTCCATGCTGTAGAAAATAAACATATTGATAAATTTTACTTTCTTTACACTTTTCTCAAGTTCCTAAACTTTGTATCATGAACCAAGAACTTTCAGGTCAGAAAACATCCTAAAACCAAAACCCAAACTGCAAGACAGAGGCTTATAAGCTTCTGCGGGTGGAATAAGATGGGTGGCCGCACATAGCTAGGACAGGGGCTCTTCAGCATCCTTCCATCCCACAGACACCATGTATCTGTCTATGCACCGCGCACTGGAGGACCACAAGCCACTGTAACCTCTAAGATTTTTTTCACCTCTACACCAAGAACCCATTTTTGCTCTCGGTGGGAACACGAGCTAGGAGCTTTCGTTTATACGAAAGCATGCTTTCTGGAGAGCAACTCTGTATTGTCCAATATATACACAACACAGGTGTCTTTCAAAAGTCTTCCGTATCTTTATGCTCCTTGATGCAATAGTTCCATGTCTAGGCATCTATCTTAAAGAACACATAATTCAAATTAAAATATCATCATAGGGACTTTAATCAAGGGAACTGGAACTGGCCTAAGTAGGGACCAATTAGGCATGTTATGGTGGATCGCCAAATGCAATTGTGGAGACAATGTTCTTAGAGTGTTTTAAAATGATGTGAAAAGGGGTGCCTGGGTGGCTCAGTCGGTTAAGTGTCTGACTTCAGCTCGGGTCATGATCTCATGGTTTATGGGTTTGAGGCCCTCATCGAGCTTGCAGCTGTCAGCACAGAGCCGGCTTTGGATCCTCTGTCTCCCCTCCCCCATTCCCCTCTCCCCTCACTCTCTCTCAAAAACAAACATTTAAAAATAAAATAAAATGATGTGAAAAAATGCTTATGCTCTAGTGTTAACTGTAGGGGAAAAAGAGATAGCTTAGGAATAGCCCAGGAAATCAACTGGGAAAAATGTGTGTGGGGGCGTGTATGTATAAATAAAACCCAAAAGGAGCACGCTGAAAATATAAACAGTCAGTTACTCCTGGGATGATTTTCTTTATGCTTTTCTTTTTTTTTTTTTTTTTTTTTTATAAAACAAAAAATACAATTTGCCAAAGTGTGCTTTGGGATCTGCCTGGAGACCTAGCAAGCAATACAAACCTAGCAGTTTGGGGGTGAGGGGGGTGCTTCCTGCCAGACCTCAGGAGAGCCTTGTAAATAGCAGCTAATATACACTTACAGGTAAGAAGCCATTAATTAAAGAACTGGGAAAAAATCCAAAAGGAGATGCTTCTCCAGTCAGTTCTACCCAATATGCTGTAAAGGATACCTGTGACTTAGGCGGATGTGGCAAAGTTTCCAAGGGAAGGAATTTTTCCTGACGTACATGACTGTTCCCAAGTCATAGTTCATGGAGCTGGCAGTCAAATTTTCTGGTGGCCTCTGTTAACATTCTGGCACGCTCTGGTATAGCAGGTGTGGCAGAGGGCAGCGAGTGTATCTCCGTGAAATGGCCCATACAGGTCAGCAAACTGAAGGGGCTTCTAATGGCTATAAAAATGCCTCGGAGAACAGCACCTCATGGTTCCCAAAACACACAGCCTTCTCTCCTTGCCTCTCATGGGCCACAGGGCACAGGGCAGAAGGAACAGAGAACAACGGAAACTGGAAAAGGTAGCTGCCAGGCCCACGGCAACCATTTGTGTACTTGAAATTGTCACCGCATATCCTTGACTCAACGCTTACCACAGCCTCACTGCAACACATGCACACTTCTGTGAATTCACTACGCACAAGCTCAGAACCCATTTTAAAACAGTCTCAGTCCTGGAGCCCTTGGACTGGTGAGCTGGTGGCTCAGCTGGTTAAGCGACCGACCATGATTACAGCTCAGGTCATGATCCCAGGATTGTGGGATCAAGAGCTAAGTCGGTCTCCATGCTAGGTATGGAGCCTGCTTAAGATTCTCTCTCCCTCTCTCTCTGCCCCTCCTCTGCTTGTGTACTCTCTTAAAATAAACAAACATTAAAAAAACCCCAATAGTCTCAGTCCAGCAAATCCCTGGCTATGATTTCTTCTTGACCTTTCTTTTGAGGGGAATGCCTCAAAAAAAAAAAAAAAAAAAAAGTCTCAGTCCAGAATGTGTTGAATGAGGCTACAGGGATTAAAATAAAGCTAACTTTGGGGGTCTCTGGGTGGGTCAGTCGGTTGAGCCTCCAACTTTGGCTCAGGTCATGATCTAACGGTTCGTGGGTTCGAGCCCCATGTCAGGCTCTGTGCTGACAGCCCAGAGCCTGGAGCCTGCTTCAGATTCTGTCTCTCTCTCTTTCTCTGCCCCTACCCTGCTCGAGCCTGTCTCTCAAAAATAAATAAATATTAAAAAAAAAAAAAACATAAAATAAAGCTAATTTTGTACAAGGTCTCTGAAATCAAGCCCCTATTACTTCATCTGGTAATCATCTGAAGGAGAGTGTTACACACTAATGCTGTAGACAAAAGTGCCTGGCTGGGCCCACACTACCCCAAATCCCTATTGGGGCCCCTATAAGAGATTTGAGGGTTATCCTGAACACAGGGTATTTCCCTCTTATGTGCTCCCCTCTCCTCTTAGATAAAAACAACACTCACTCCTCTCTTGGACACACAAATCCAGTTGACACCACTCTAACGGCTGACGTGGTCTGGTGATCTGGAAAAGTCTCAGGACTGGGGTCAAAAGACGGGCCCCGGACTCTGGGTGGGGAGTGATCTAGGTGGCTGGCAGGGGTCTGTCACAAACCTCTACACCTCAGTCTTTTAACATGTGAAGTGTGAGAAGTGAACACTCACAGGGCGTGCGGTGATGAGGGCCGCAGTGGACACGGACAGACGTGCTGCCAGGCAAGGCGGAAGAAGTGGGTTACAGCCACCGCTGCGATTTGCCAAGAGCCTGCCCTGTGCTAATTTCATTTTAAAAAGGTTAAGTTTGAAAATTTAATGTTCCGAACAGGTAACGCATCTACGAGTTTCAAAATTAAAGACTGAGAAGAGACCCACAGGTCCATAATCTTAGGCTAGATGTGTTCTGGAATTCAGAATTTTTCGGATTGAGAAAGGTCAGATGGGTGTTCCTAACTTATACTGCATAACACTCCCAGCAGCACCTGAGCTGTAACAGATACCCTAATGTTTCTACAGAATGAATGCTTATTCACACATAAGTGGGATAAATGAATATATGAGAAGCTTCATGCTACTGCAGGACAGGTTTTGCTACCAAACCAGGGTTTGGCACCAGTCTTATGGGAAAAAAAACCCAAAAGCAAAATCAAACCAACCAACCTTGGTTTTCACAGGGTTTTTTTTTCCTTTTTTTTTTTTTTTTTTTTTTTAAAGAGAGAGAACCTGCATGCAAGCAGGGGACAGGGGCTGGGAGGGAGAGAATATATCTCAAGGTTCATGCTCAGCGTGGAACCCAACATGGGGCTCGATATAACAACGTAGGGATCATGATCCGAGCCAAAATCAAGAGTCGGACACGCAATGGACTGAGCTACCAGGTGCTCCTCAGAGCTCCTTTGACACCAGACTTGTACATAAAAGGTTGTGGGCCCACAAAGGCAAAAATTCTCCCTTTCACCCCTGTTCGCCAGCCCACCAGGTCTTCCTTCAGACAACTAAGTATCTCTGTATGTCCCTCCAAAGATACTCTGCATATACAGAGAGCATATATGTATCTCTCCTTTGTTAACAGCCAGATGTGCTGAGCTCCTAGTATACATTATCTTATTTCACCTTTGCAGCAGCCGTCTGAGTACATATGATTTTTATTCTTATTTTATAGATGAGGAAACAGGCTCAGAAGCAAGGTTTCTTTAACAAGGACACATAGGTAGTAAGTGGCCAATACAGTAATCATCCTGGGTCTGCCCACCCTCAAAACCCATGCTCTTTTAACTGACGTGCTGAGGCCATTTACATTTAATGTGATCTTAGGTGATAGGTTTAGATTTATACCTACCATGTAGAATTCATTTTCCAACTGTTCCCTCTGTTTTTCATTCCTGTTTCCTCTTTTCATTCAATTTTAATGTTTTTGACTAGATCTCTTCTTAGAGTTTTTTCCAAGTGGTTGCTTGAGGGATCAAATATACATACTGCACTTCTTCAGTCTACTTAGAAACAGTATTTTATCGTTTCAAGTAGAAGGCAGAGACCTTACTAGCATATACAGTTCCATTTACTCTCTCCTCTTTATGTTACAGTTGCTCCACATTACACTGACATATAGTGAAATGTTGCAATTTTTACTTTCAACTGTAAAACACATTTTAGAGAATTCAAGAGAACAGTTATATTTACCATTTCTATTGCTCTTCCTTTATTCCTGATGTTCCAAGTTTCCGTCTGGTATCATTTCCCTTCTGTCTGAAGAACTTCCTTTAGCAATTCCTTTTGAGAAGAGCTGTTGACTATGAATTCTTAGTTTCCTTTCATTAAGAACTCTTAATATCCTTCAGAAATAAAGTGAAATATTTGCTGGATACAGAGTTCTGGGTTGACCATTCTTTTTTCTCCATACTTTGAGAACAGTGGTCTACTTCTTCCTGGTCTCCATGATTTCTAATGAGAAATCCACAATCAGTCACATTCTTATTCTTCTATAGGTATGTCCATGCAGGGACTTTCTTGTGTTTATCCTACTTTTTGAATTTGTGGGGTTTTTTTTTGCCCAAAATGTCTTTTGCCAAATCTGGGGAGTTTTCAGCCCTTATTCTCTTCAGGTAATTTTTCTGCACTGTACTTTCTCCTCTTTTAAGACTCCGCTGCC